ATCTGAGCTCACACTAGTTCTCCCAGCACTGTTTAAAAAGCAGGTGCAGTTAAGGTGTCCACCTGGAAAACGGGGACTTAGAGTTGCAGAAGGGAGAGCTCTCATTCACTTGTGCACACAATGAGTATTCTCCTTCCATACTCACTCAATGGCTACATCAAGTGAGGCAGGAAATTCCCAAAGCCTGTGGTGTGAGCAGCTTGTCAGAGAGGGAAGCCTATCTCTAGTCCCCATCAGAGCCTGGATGTGGGAAGGCCCCATAGAACTTAACAGCAACAAAGCAAGAAAAAGTTGCTAAAAATTGAGGCCATGAGAACCCTGGGGACCTGGGAGGCATTCAGGAAAAGGTTATGACTTATTTCCTTTTTAAATATATACTCTTATTCCTCTTCACTTCTTAAAGGATATGCTCTCAAGCATCTCCAGAATGGAAATGCACAAAGCCAACATGAGGTAGAACACTTTAAACTCTTCATGTAGAAGTATATATCATTTCCTTCAAAATGCCAAGTCTTCCAAGGCTCTTAACATTTAATGGATAAAAACAGAAGAACTTCTAGCCCAAGATTCTGTTTTAGAGCAAACAAATGACTGGCACAACTATCATATATGTATCAGACACACTTCTGGAAGTTTAGACACATTGAATTGCAAACGTAACTTGGAGGGCTCTTAGAACAGAGCCTGGAAACACAGAGTGGTACCAGTGTGGCTGGCTGGCTGATTTCTTCCAGAGTGGAGCCTCAGGAGAAATGGACTGCACAGTCACAAAGGTGGATGAATCAGCTGCATTCCCAGGATGCTCTGCAGCACACAACCAGGACCAGGCCCTCCTTTCACCAGGAAATCACCCAACTAGGCCAAGCTGGGTATGCACTGTGAGTGAGGTGAATATAGCCTGCACGAAGATGTGCTGACCATGAGACTAAAAAATAACACTTCTGGCTAAATTACAGCAATGGCTATCATGGATGTCATTCATTAGTGGTTTATCACCAGATGATTTTTATACATCATCTAATTTAATTCCCATAGCCCTCAGGGAGGCTTGTCTCATCACCATTTTATTGAAAAAGGAAAGGAAGCTCAGAGAAAGTAATTTGCCTCAGGTTGCATCACATAGCAACGACAGGTCTAGGGTTACACAAACCTATTGAGGCCTGAGTACCTGCTCCTAAATGTTATGCTAATGATGCTGCTAAATATCACGAAAGCAGAATGTGTTCAGATAAGCACAGATTAAGCAGCACCCATGCTGCAGCTAACTACTATGGTGTGCTGCAAAGAGAGGAGGAAGACGCAATTCCTTGCAGTGAACTCTGCCTGCTGAAGACAGAACAAGGGCACCAGCAGGCTTTCCCTCCGAGAAAGTGTGAGGTGAAGGCCGAGAATGACAGGGGATTGGACCTGCACGGCAGTGCGGGCACCCGGACCTTTGTCTGGGCCATTGCCAGAGCAGATTAATAGAAGGTGGCCACATCAGTATCTCCCCCAAGGGAGCCTTCACTTTTGATGGCCACCAGGATTGTACTTCACCTGGACAGCAAAAGCCCTGGGCAATGTTTGGCTTCTACACAATGGCACCTGCAGATGTGGGAAAGAAAGGCAATGGAATAACACTGCATTAGTCGGCCTTCCTGCCACTGTTCCTGGGACACAACACACGGCACTCATGGCTTTCAGGAGAAGTTTAATGTGGGACAGGGTTTCTGGGGTTCAGTCCATGGTTAGCTGGCTCTGGAAGGAGCATCATGGTGGAAGGGTGTGAAGGAGTGAGGCTGCTTGCTTCATGGTGGCCAGGAAACACAGAGGGGAACAGTGCCAGAGAGGAAGGGACCAGGGACCTGATATGGACCCCAAAGTCATGCCCCCAGGGGCCACACTGTCACCCCCAGAAATGCACTTTACTCATCCCTGGGGTGTCTGCCGAGCTTATCAGGTTGACAGTATACCTTACCTGTCAGAAACACAGTTTACTTCAGGAAAATTACCAGCATATACTTCTTAATGCTTACATTAAAATAATATATGCAAGCATAGCTTCTTGTAGATTCAGACTTGGAATAATCATAAAGCAGTGAAACCTAAGTATTTAAAAAACCTCAGTAAGCCTAAAATCTCAAATTATACTCCACCCATTTGGAGTGAATGGTTCAAAAACCACATTGTAAAATGTTCAAGTTGGAAACTGGGGCAGCTTGCATTAAATTATAAAATCTATACAATTCCTAGGCTCACACATACTTTCCTTTTGTGTTTTTTCTTTCCTGTTTTTTGTTTTGTTTTGTTTTCTGAGTTGGAGTCTTCGTATGTTTCCCAGGCTGGCTTTGAACTCCTGGCCTCAAGCAATCCTCCCACCTCAGCCTTCAGGTCTGTCTGATGAATGAAAAGTCTGTAGCCTTATTTCAAACATTAAAATTATATTTTAAGTGAATAAAATGTGATCACAAATAAGCACCAATTAAATGTCTACTGTTGAAGATGCCCCAGTGCTCATCAGGACACCATGGCTATTGATTATTCAGCAACACAGGACAGGTTCTAATTAGCTGGCTCACCTGCAATATAGTGCTTATGAGGGAGACTCCCAAATGTCATTTTATTCACATCACAGACTGAGTCTGGACCAACCACCCAGAAAATGTATCACTTTAGTCACAAGGGTACATGTGACAAGAGGTGAGGTATGTAGATGGTTGAGCATCATCACAGCAATGGAGAGGCCACCCCAAGGGCATTTTGTATTGTCTCCACAAACAGAGGGTAACAGAAATGTGACATGAGCCGGGTGCCGAGGCTCATGCCTGTAGTCCCAGTTTCTTGGGAAGCTCAGGCAGGAGGAATGAGTGAGCCTAGGAGTTTGATGCTAGCCTGGGCAACATGGCAAGGTCCTGTCCCTTCAAAAGCAAAAACCAGCTGACCAAACAAATGAAATGAGGCGATATTATTAAAAAGAAAAATCTAGAACTTTAATTTTAAATTTGAAAATTTGAAGATTATCAATCTGTCATCTATATCTATATATCATCTCTGTCTTTACCTACTTATCATCTATATCTATGTATCATCTGTATCTTTTATTTATGTGCCTACTTTTCTCTATGTATCTGTCATCTGTATTTATCATCTATAGTTTTCTATTATCTGTATCTATCTTCATCTACCTACATATCATCTACCATCCATATTTAAGTTTTATCTATATACCTACTTGTCTATCTATCTATCTCTATTATATTCATCCATCCATCCACCCATCCACGCATCCACCCATCCACCCATCCACCCATCCACCCATCCACCCATCCATCCATCCATCCATCATCTATCTACCCTATCTATCTATCTATCTATCTATCTATCTATCTATCTATCTATCTATTATCTATCTATCTATCTATTTATCTATCTGTCTGTCTATCTATCCATCTATCATATCCATCCATCCATCTATTCATCCATAGATCAAATCCAAATCTAACACATTAATGCTCTGACCAAAGCAAACTAAACCTAATGAAACAGCTCTGTTAGCAGTTCCTTAAGTATGCCATAAAATGTATCTGTGCAGCACACATTAAGCTCTTTGTGTCTGTGTACAGAAGTGAAGGGAGTGGGAGGAAAACGCATGTTTGATTCTGACAAATGGACACTTGTTAGACTGAGCTGATCTCCTGAGCCACAGAGCACTGTAGCATCAGAAAGAGGCACAGCATCGGGTTCAGCACGCAGGTCCCCAGCTCCCGGATGGCTTTCATTCTGTGGCTGTGCAAGTGGACTGAGTGCCCTTAAGGAAGGGCGCAGCATAGTGACCACACTGTGCAACAAAGTGACCGTAGTTAGCAATGACGTTTACGTTCTTGAAAATTGCTAAGCAGATCTTGAGTGTTTTCTCCATACACAGAAAGATAAATACATAAAATCGTGCATGTTTCTTTGGCTAAATTTAGCCATTCCAGAATGACTACACAGCTCAAAACATGTTCTACATGACAAATACATATACGTTCACTTTCAATGAGAATAAATAACTTAAAAATATCAAACAGCACCTAGCGACAGAGTTTAACCCACCAGTGAGATGCGTTATTTCACTACCTCTTAGCAGATAAGGTCAGCAGGACTGATCGCGTGTTATAGCTACTTTGGGTTGCAATTTTATCATGCTGTACACCTAATAATATGGTTTCTGATATCCTCTTTGTCTGCCCCAGACAGTCTCTTCTCTCCAGTGTAATTCAGGATTTTGATATCCTTGTATTGTTTCCCTATAGAAATTGCTTAAGACACTAACTTGTGTCATCCCCTTCCTATTTTGGGTGCTATGAATTTTTGTTCATTTATTGATTTATTTTCTTTGGGCAGGATTACTTCCTATCCCTGAATGCACTAGCTATCAAAGGTTCTGTTAAAGATAACTTCATGGTTTTTAAACTAATACAGTGTAACCTGAATTCTCAGAATTACCATTCATACTGAGTATGGCCACTGCTCTGTAGAGAAGTGGTTATAAGAGGTTTGGTTTACAATTTACCTCTCTCTCAGGAATGGTTAGTTTTAATTTAATTTAACCTATTAAATTTAAAAGTTTTAAAACTGAATTTTCTATAGAATTCTGGTTGAAAAGATTAGATTATTTTAAAGAACATGGAGGATGAAGAAAATTTTCATTTGAGGCAGGAGAAAAACAAAATCCATTGTTCTAGTGGGAAGTGGTTCTTTCTAATCACATCATCGAAGTGTTCAGAGAAAAAAGATTCTTCCTTCTAAATAATTAGCATTTAATGTCCAGTAGATTAGTTTGCACTTTAGTTTCTGTAAAAATCCCAGTAGTATCAATTAATTATATCTTCATTAATTTAGCTATTTTTCAAAGGAGATATAAGAAGTATAATCAATCAAATGGGCTTATTATGAAGAAATTATATATTATTTAAATAAAATTCAAGGTTTTTAACAGAAAAGCCAGTGGCACAGTAGCATATCAACCTTGGCCTTACCCTTTAATTTCAAGGCTTCTAATACCTTTGAATCAGCCGTCACATCACTCACTAGCTTGATTTCAATATTTTGTGACGTCAGTTGGAGTAACTTTTCAAAAAGACGTTGACCCTGGGAAAAAATATTCAAAGACAAAGAGAATCAGAAAATGTAAATGTTTGCTATTTTAGAAGAAATAAGTTAACTCATTAAAAATTAAAACCATTCATTCAATTTGTAAAAGGCAAGACTTTAACCTTCAACAATCGGTGTTCACAGATTTATGAAATTCTTTCAAAAGAGGAGAGGCACAGCAGAGGTTACATTGTCTTTTTGAGTGTTGTGCAATTCAGCAATCATTGCAATAATAGTTTCAGGACTACAAGGCAAATCTACCTTTCTTTTACTTTTTAAATCTGTAGTTATCTACATACAAAGAGGCAGTAGAAAATACTAAATAGCTTCATTGTGACCCCGAAAGAACTAGATCCCAGCTTGTTTTCCAGTTTGAAAATTGTTTCTTAATCTCACTAACCTCCAGTTTCTTTCTCTGAAATAATGCAGATGATTAATCATATTTACTTTAAAAGGTTTTATGAGATTAAAGGACTTAGTTACAAACATCTTTTGAGTGTTAGCTATTATAGGGGCAATTATAGATAATAATTACAGTTAATAATTAATGGTTTACCAGAATTTATTCTTATTTAAAAGTTGTTTTACTGAATTTAAGGAATATTCTGGCTAAAAAGAACTGAAATAACAAACAAAATAAAAATGAAGATTTTTCTGATAAAATTTCAGGAGCATATAAATTTTATAATTTGCTTCAATCTCAAGGAGACTTTCAGTAATGGTAGCTCTGCACACATTACCTTATCTCCGGGAAGGGATTGCACTATTACCCTACTTAATTTCCTGTCTGTATTTTTATCCTGTCCCTCTTTTCATCATAAAAGGGAAATGGCCTTCATTGATTATTTTTTCAGTTTTTTTTTTGCTGTTGGACCATAAACACAAACATCTTTAAGGACCGGATAGGTAGTAGGAGTTGGGTGTTAATGGTTCCCGTTTTGCAAAGTCTTAACACACTTTGATAAACATGGCTTGCTGATGATTATTTATGAAGGATTAGTAAACTAGGAAGACAGAATGGAAGAAATGCGGATGCAAGCAGTGAGTCCTGCAGTTAAGCCTTAGGAAAGAGAGAAGCCAGAGATTAGGAGCCTAAAGCTTTGGAGTATCAGGAGGAGGAAGTCCCTGTGCCAAAGTCTATGTATCCAGGGTGCTGGAGGGCAGAGCTGGAGCTGCACCCTGCGCCATGCCTCGTGTTAGCAGAAACTAAGACTGCCCAAAGTGGGGCCCATCACAGGCAACCAGATTACTCTGCACCCCAGAGCCGGGAGGCAGCCTCCCTCCAAACCAGGTACTCCTGTGGGAGTGCACCTGACAGACAGAGACACATACCTTGTCCCAGAAAGGCAGGAGTGGGGTGGGGGAGAGGAAGAGATGGGTAAACACGCAGAGAAACAAAAGGACAGACAAGAACAAGGCAGCAGCTGGTCTGGTGATTTCAGTGTCAGTGTGAGTTTTACAGTGATCAGGGAGAGGGGAAGGTCTGGGCAGGGAGAGCCCTGGGTTCAGGCTCCACTCTGGGACTCCGCAGCTCTCTGGGCTCCGCAGCCCCGCAGCCCCATTAGTCAGCTCCGTCCTCCTCCCAGCAGGTCACCTCGCTCCTGCCACACATTACTTAGGTGTTGTCTGCGCAGCCCAGACAACAAATATTCACAGAAGCTGTCTGCGTTTCTCCCGTTCACACACACAGACACTTTGCGTGCCTGGGGAGACCTAGTGGGCCAGCATTTTTAAACAGATTCACTTAGTTTTGCTCTTATGTGCTGATTACTTACACCAAGCAATCTTTATAAATTTAATCATCATGCTCACTAGAATGAACTTGGGCTTGGCGGAACTCCTACGCTGGGGCTCGAGGTGAAACTTCTATTAAATCTCCCGTCTTCGGCATGTCATCTCCCCGCTCAGTCATTTTCGCTACAACATTTAGAATGTAATAACTTCCAAAGGTATTAAACACCTGCTCTGCGCGGATCTGGATGAAGGCTTAGTGCTCTGTGAGTTAAGCTCACTCATCATTTTTTAATGAAGGAATAGCAAAAGCCCCTTGGCTTTTAAACATCAGCAAGTTAAAATCTTACACTTTCTGGTGAAAAACATCAGCCAACATCTCAAATTTAAATAAATCATCTCAAAGACAGTGGCTCTGGCATGCTGACCTACTTTAAGCCAAATTTTTATGAGCCTGCAAAAACCTTACGATGTACACTCTGGCCTTGGAGAAGAAGTCATTCTCCGAGGATACAGACCTAGCATGGCCTTTGGTGTCTCCACAGAGGCTGCCTAACACAGGAGACCCGTGCAAGCCCATGTGGGAAAACAAACATTTTCCTCTACCTCAGTGAACCTCCCAGTTCACTGGTTGTTCCCATGAATCAAACTGATAAAAGACAAGTTGACAAGAGAACAATGTTGGATTCAAATGATGCATATACATACATGCGCATGATGACAGCCCAGAAATAAATGAGACTCAGGGAGGTGACCACATGATGGAGACTTCTTACCATCTAAGGCTAAACAGTGAAAAGGGGCCTCAGGGAAGGAAAGACCTCAATCTAAGAAAACTCAACAAGACACCTGAAGACAGAGGCACATTTAAGGTAGAGAGACATATCGAGAGGCACATTCTATAAAGTAACTGAACATAAAGGATAAAGAAATTCCCATAGTTCTCTGGCCAGGGAAACATAATTTACCTATCAAGAGAAGCAGGCTTAAACTAACTATGTGTAACACTAGGGTGCTCCATCATAGACCAAGACTAGAGCTCAAGAAAATCCACACTTCTATTTCACCTGCTAGAGTAAGAAAAAGAAGTCTTTACAGATATACACAGATTTTGAGACTACAGCGCTTCCATATCCCACAGGAGGAAAAGATTTCAGGAAAGACTAACCAGATAGTAAGTATTAACACCATCAAAGAGGGAGACAGGGAGAAGAAATGCATGATGAGAAATATTGTATGTCTAAGTGTTTGACACCTTGCTACATAAGGAGTTTTAATAAAAGGTGCACATTATAGGAGAGGATCTACCAAGAATCTACTCTGGGCATCCCCAGGGTTCTTAATTGCTCCAAAGGAGCTGAGAACTGGTTCTTGAGTGTTGCGAGAGAATCTTACTCTTTTTAGTATTAAAACATAGCTATAAACACAACACACATACAGTGTACTGTTGTTTTAAAATTTCGTAAGTGGAAGAGAAGATCAAGAAAAAACAGAGGCCTTGAAAAGGCTCCTGAGTAAGGTGATAATGAAAAAAGTTTGAGGGACACTTCCTAGAACCAACTAGACAAATGATTTCAGTAGAAAGATCAAGGGAGGGCTTAAAAGCAGGAGATGGGAAAAGTGGACCATTGTTACACAATGGCACAACTTCTAGAGCAATGATACTGATGAGCTGATAAGCTTCAAATGGCAGAGCAGCTGACGTAGAAAGCAAATGTCAACACAAATGCAATGAAAGCTGTACCCCAGGCCAGGCATAGTGGCACACGCACGTAATCTCAGCAGTCTGCAAAGCTGAGGCACAGAGATTACAAGTAGATTTAGCAAGACCCTATCTCAAAATTGAAAGAAATAAACAATAAAAAGGGCTGAGGATGTAGCTCAGTGCAAAGGATCTGGGTTCAATGCCCAATACTCAAAAAAAAAAAAGAAGGAAAGAAAGAAAAGAGTACCATATATAATACTTCTCTAAATTGGGCAGATTGAAAAGAAAATAAATGAAGATATATGAAAAACAAACAATACTATCATTAAGATTGATTGCATGTATACATTTTTCTATTCCTCATTCTGTATATTAAACCTTCACAGAACAATGTTTAGGAAACATTTGTGGAGGTATGCCCTGTAACTGTCATAAATAAGCCTGAACAAGTTATGACATAGTCTTTATACTTCATTCTCTGCTCGTATCTGACAAAATGAGAATCAGAACTTTAATAAGTAACTCATACATAAATCTAACCTACTTGCAGATCAAACAGCTCACTCTTAGATTACCCTAACATCTACTGGGAAAAGAATAAATGTGTGCATACCTTAGAAAGCTACAAAAAGAATAAATGCATGCATTCTCTAGAAAGCTAGGAATAGGTAAGCTCTTCATAGCAAATCCATGAAATGAAACAGTGTCTATTGTCAGAGAGAAGCTGATAGCCTTAAATGTGAATAGTACTATAAAAGAAAATATTATAGATAGATATATATGAAAATTTAATACAAGATCCCAAAATGTTATGTACAAGATTTTTTTTAGCAGTAATAAAGATAGTGTTTTAATTCAATCTGTAAAGGAAATAGTTTAACCTGGGGCAAATGGAAGGACCCCTTTAGTATACTACCTGTAAAAGTATGTCCTCAGTCAGAATGCATACTAATGCTTCCAAGAAAAATCCAGGTAACTATATGTACAGTCTTAGACCTAGAGAGATCTTAACCAAGTTGTGATAGACCAAAAGATGGTTCCCAAAGATACCAGGTTCTAATCTCTGGAACTTTCCAATGCATTAGCTTATTTGAAAATAGGATCTTTGTAGATGTGATTAAATAAAGGTCTTCTAATTGGTAGACTGTCCTAGGTTATCTGGGGATAATCCCAAATGCAGTCTCCATACCTCGACTTAAATTATTGTAAGACAGAAACAGAAGAGGGATTGATACAACTAAAATAGAAATCAATGTCAACATGGGTCAGAGAGAGATTTGAACATGCTGCCCCAGAAGACGAGGGTGTAGCAGCAAGCCCCAGTGTGGAGCCACCAGAAGCTGAAAGAGGCATGGAATGGATTTTTCTCTATGACGTCTAGAAGTACCACAGTCCTCTGAAACCTTATTTGAAGCCCAGAGAAAACAATTTCAGACTTCTGGCCTCTAGAATTGTGAAAAAAATTTTTTTATTGCTTTAAAATGCAAAGTCTGTGATAATTTGTTACAGTGGCCACACACAACCCATAAAAACCAGTATACACGCTAAATGTGTGGAAGCA